TTGACTGCAGACTCGATGAGCAATCACAAATTGATTATTAACAATTATTTGCCATCCATCATTGTTACTGTGGATCCTTGCCTGGATGATAAACACTATGCGATTTTTCACAACTCATTTTTTTCCCATTTATATGTTTGCCTTTGGCTTCTATCAGATTTCTGAAGAATTAGTAAATTGTCTAACACCTCAGTCGGCGCTTGTAAAGCCTCTTTTAAAGAGCGTCTTCAATCGATCGTTTCATACATTACATCAGAACAACGCTGCTCTCGGTGTTTCGCTGATGTAAACAAAGATTCCCTTTGAAACTCGATCAGGTGACGGCGAAACGCTGAGAGCGGGGTGGACGCACACATCGCTGAGATGCGTGCATGAGAGCGAAAACAGCCAACGAGAGGGCACGAGATGGGGAGCAGCTGTAGATTTACTGTTCCCATCAGAGGGTTCGGCCTCTAAGAGAAAACATGTGGAGCGGCGAGGCTCTCCCATGGGTTCCGTGGGTTCTCACAGCTGCAGATACCTCCGGCTCTTTCCCCTCTCGTTCTCCGGTTTACTGTATCTCTCTCTCGTGTCCGGCTCCTGGCCTTTTGCCACGGCCCTTTGTCGAACTGGAATTCAAAATCAACCTTTCGTTATCTCTCCTGACCTCTCTCCCTGTCTTATCTTTTATATCACTCCTGTTTTTCCTGCTCTCCGTTTCTTGTCTCTTCCATTCTGTTAATCCTTTTTTTTAACTCTCCCTTTCTGCTGCTCATCATCCCTGCACACACATGGCGTTTATTTATTAGACATGGAGGAGGGGAATTTTTTATTTTTTTTTAGTCCTTCTCCCTGGATACAAACAAACACATTTCTGGATGACGAACCCACCCCCTCTCTATATGTTTATACATCTCTTTTCATCATCCCGGCGTTCATTCTCATAAACTGCCTTTTAATGAGTGAACTTTGAAGACTGTGATGATGCTGACTCAGAGTATTGTTTCCTCTCTCTCTCTCTCACTCTGTCTCTCTTTGTTGTCCTTTTTGCTAATACATCTGCTCATTTCTCTTCATCCCTTTTGAGACTGCTTTTTTTCCTTTTTTTTTTTTGTCTCCGGACTGACCTCCCCATTTTCACTTTCTCGCCGTCCCTTTGAGCCGGAATTCATTACGGCAAATGGAAAACAAGTATTCATGAACGCGGACATATAATATCAAAATAAGACCGAATGTGGGCGTTAATGATCTCTTGGACCTTTACTACTCTTGTGAGTATTGCTTTGTTGTCTGTGGGAGTGGGGCAGTGTGCTCTGAAAAAGCCCATTGATTTCAGGCGTGTGCAGCCTTTACACACACACACACACACACTCACACACACACGGGGAGTCTGGGATGCTCTGTGAGGTTTAGCAGAGCCTGTCTCATCTTCCCTGTCTATCCTTTAAGCTGTGCTCCGCTTTCTCACTAAATGCATGGTGGGCTGTTGGGCTGCCCTGGCAGAATGACAACTAAGACTGGTGAGAGCCGGGCAGAATTATCTCTCTGCGGGGCGAGCGGGACTTCGGTGCCATCCAGGGCCAGCTCCAGGCTGTGCTCTCGATGGCTGCGGCGTAATGACCTCATACATCAGTGTGCACGAACTGTGGAAGGTGCGTTCGATGCTGCATGTGGCCTATTTGGCTGCTGGAATATTGATGGGCTCCAGTGCTGTTGCAGTCATCATTGGGTCATTTCTATATTCAGCTGGGATTAAGATATAGCTAAACCAACACGCTTCAGCAATGCTGCCTGTGGAGATTATTGGAAATTTTTTTTTTGCCTTGGATTCCATTATTCTTATGAACCTCCCTTTTCTTATTGAACCACTTCATTCCATGAGCCACTCCACTTTCCCACCATCCAGTTCCCAGCCCTCCTCTCCCGGGAGGCTGCGAGAGGGGATCGGTGGCTCTTCTCAGGTCTCCGGTGGTCATCCGGGGAACGAGTGGACTCATTATGGCGTGGAGCTTTCACAATAAGTGAAAGGGAGACTAATGAGCAGTTAGATCAAGCATGTTACGGAGCATTCCCATTAAGTAAACCACTGTAGTGCTGAATTTGTGGGTTTTAACGCAGCAACACTGGCTTCTAATCAATTGGCGGCTCCGTAATGAACTGTTATGTCATTTCGGAGAGGTTAGCCGTCAGTCAAGGAGGGGTCTCATCAAATCCGGACTGGAAATTTGCCGTTGCTCTATGTGGCTAGCCGGATAACCTCTGCATGTGCATGTGTTTGAAAAAAAGAGGGAGATGGATACTGAGAAAAATAGAGGGGTAATTAGGTATCTTTCCTCGAACACAAATCCTCCCCCTCCCCTATATCTCCCAGGGGGGAGAAGAGCCTTGTCAAAGCCCTGTCATGAATTTTTAACAACCCTTTCGGTCGGCTCTCTTAGCAGCTATGTGTGTGTGTGCCGATTTGCATGTGCGTGTTCATATACAGTAATGGGAAACGGGCGATTCACACAAAATGTTGCAATCCTATATTTCCCATTAGTGTCATGCAAGTTGCTCATCCAGCTGTTGCTTCTTCTCGCGTATCATATCGCATACAACGCTGGAACCGAGAGATCTGTAATCAATACCCATGTGTCCGTGCGTTAAGCGTGTTACTTTGCATGTATTTGCAGTGATGCTGTGCATTTAGCAAACTGAACATATTCCTGAGAAATGACCCGGATTTACATCTTAAGTGGTAAAGCTCAGCGGCGTTACATTAACACGACGCGACGCTACATCGCTGACATTTGACATTAACCTAATGACAAAGCCTCCGACACGTTGGCCTTTCCAGGATGAACTGTCGCTCCATCTCTCCCTCAGGAGGCACATTATCACAGCCTCCGATTGTGTCTTTTTTCCGTGATATACTTCGGAAGTGAAGTTATAAAGAAGCAGCTATTTTACTAATTCATCATAGCCTGGGTGTATTTGAAGATGAGGTGTCACAAAATGTATTTATTCACATGAAAAGACTTTGAATTTAAATCAGTTTTTTTCTTGCATATTGCTTTGTTAAAACCTTTGAATACACAGTTAAACATTACACGTGGATCTCTCCAGTTAGATTTTTGCTGGTACTTGTACAAGCAGCACACGATTTCAAGTCGAATTTAGAGACTCTCCTTATACCATGTGGGGACTCTTAGAGTGGATAACAAGACACCAAATGTCTGTCGACACGATGTGACTGCAAATCAGACGTGTTTTCAGATTGCTCATAAAGCTGTTAAACTATAATTAGACCTCCTGATTTAGACGTAAATGTCCAGACGAAATCGCCGAAATAGTTCTCGGTGTCTGCTGATAACGAGCGTCACTGTCGAACAGTTGTCAGACATGCTTCATGGGTGGAAAACATATGATTTAGTGCTTGAGGCTGCAAAGGAACATGCTATTTTTGTGCGTGGTGTAATTGTGCGTAATAATTTCGCCATCACGATGTTGTGTGGTCCGCGTGTCTTGTGTCTGTGTGTGTTTATGGCTGGGATGGGGTGTATATTTAGCCGCTGACATCCAGTGCAGAGGAGGTGGAGATAGGTCTGGAACAAAGCCCAGCACTGGAGGCCAAAGGGACGTGGACTGTTGATCAAGAATGGAACCATTGCCGACAGCAGACACATGGTCGTAGACGCGCAGATGCCCCTCTTCGTACCCGCAGTCAGTAGAAACACAGAATGACAGATAGTATAAGTGTCTCATCCAGATCCGACACGCCTGTTACACTGTCCTACTTGGACAGGCCAACAGATGGATATCGGAGGGCGATGCAGCTATAAATAGAGTTAATAGTTATCTTTTCTAATTGCATTGATTTATTCAAAACGCTTCGCTTAGGCGAGTCTTCTCCGAGGCTATTGTAGCTCCGCTGTTGTGTAGGAAGTCAGCATGTCAGACGGATGGGTTTATTTAAGGGCAATGCTTTTCTCCACAGGGTTGTCATTACCCAGCAGAGTCCAAGCAGGGCAGGCCGGGGCCAGGTAAAGGTTTGATCTGTGTGGATTTGCTTGGGTGAACATATATATATATATATATACACAGACTTGTGCAGCGGCGGCTGTTTCTGTTTGTCTCTCTGCCCGGCTGATGTCTGCCTCAGGAGCTCGTTGTTCTTTTATTGCAACCTTTTCCATCACAGTGGACGTTAGCTGCGAAACTTTGAGCAAACGTGTACGATGACGGTTAAATTAGTTCATCAACGATACGATGCAGAAATCTAAAGTCTCCCCCCGTTATGTACAAGGTGTGTTCCTCATTGTCGCTGTCTTTGTCGTCACCAATGTTGTGAACTGTTGAAATGTCGATATATTAAAACACAAAATTCCAAACTCATGACTCATGTTTCAGCAATAAATACATGCTTCCCTGCATGTGTGCAGAGCAGTTTGGGTCAGACTCTGTTTCTAGAGTGACAAATGTGCATTGTCTAGCTTGCTCTTGCCCTTTTTATTGCTTGTGCTTTAGAGAAGAAAACAATAATCTAGAATGATAAGTGCTGCTTCTATTGCATCTCAATGGGACTGTGTGCAAGCAAGAGAGATAGGTTGAGATTAATTACATTTCTATCCCCTTGTTATTTAGCAGAATCCAATTTGATTGACAGCCTCTCAGTGGATAATCCATTTGCTCTTGACTTTACTCAATGATCTGCCATTTCTTCCAGTGATGACCTCAACTTTCTTCATCTCGCTCTGTGTTTCATTCTCTCTGTCTCACACACACACGACTTTCCTACATTACAACCTTTTCATTCTGACATTCTGATATTCGGTGGTTTGGCCTTTAGTGGGCAGTGAGTGCTGTAAGACCATGATGGCCCTGTAGTTTGAGCTCCGCAAGCGAGATCATAATCTTTTCTCTTTCCCCTCCCCTCAGCTCGGTTTACATCATGCTTTGTTAACATGCTCTTCTTTTTGCTCAGGTTTTCTGTGATTAGACTGCGTTTCCAATCTAAACCCCTGTCACATTTCACTCCCCAGAAACTGGCGGAAGAAGCTGAGCGCTTCCAGATGCAGCACGTATGGAGTAACGAGTTTGAGGTAATTGAGGGAGAAAAAAAAGAAGACAGACACACCAGCACACACTTAGGGGATGAATATATATGTATAATATACAGTATGGTCATGCATGTAGTCTGGAATTACTGGCCTTAAATTCATTTCATTGCCTGAATAGGTTTAATCTGTTTGCCGCGGTTATTAGCAGTGATTACAGCTTCATCTGTAAATAGGTTTATTGCACATTATACACTGTTGTTACGACGACACATCACGCCCCTCGTTTCAGATGACAGATGTTTTGCTTTCCAAGAACCACAGCGGCAGACAATTATAATGGAGAGTAAAGCGATGGTCAGGAAAAATACTTGTCACCGAGACTGTTATATATGTGTCTAAGCTCCGAATTACCATATTGCTCCCTCAGTGGCAGAAAAAAAAATGCCTCCCAGGAGCATTGCAAATGGCTGTAGGCACACAGGCACATATGAAAAAAAAAAAAAGGGAACACTCTGCACACTCAGCTTAACTCATACAGAATTTATTTAACTGAAAACACAGACCAGTGTCTTCATTACCATAAATCTGGGGAAATTAACTAATGTTGTTTCCTGCCAACAAAGTAAAGAAGTGTTTAGAAATGCATTAAGGATTTCACGATTGCATAAATGTTACGCTTCGTTGTGCGACACTCCCCTCCGAAAAGTGATATTTGTGCTTCCTTGTGACTTGTTTACAGGATGATGAAATTGCCTACTACAACGCAAAGGACAATGTGAGTGTGCTTTTTCTTTTTTTTCCCTTCTGTCTATTTGTTCTCCGTCTATTTAAGCCCCTGCAAACACCCGGGTCACAGTCAGACATGAGCCTGTAATGTGGTTTTGTTACACAGGACCCCTCTTTCACCGTCTTCCCTCCTCTCCCACATTTTCCTTCTCCTTATTCACCAAATTCTTCACTTTCTATCAGCTTTTTACTGCATTTTCCCCCTGCCTCTCCCTCCCCACTCCTTTGCCTCTTCTTCGGGGCTTTTCTTCCCATGTAGCTTCCTCTCCGTCATCCCTCCTCCCACCCTCTTTCAGGTGAAGAGGTCTCTGCCATGTTTCTCCTCTAATTGACAGATGAGATGTATGAGCTGGCTACGCTGTTGCTTTATTAGGAAGCCACTGTTCGCACCCCTTCTCTCCCGCCTCCTCCTCCTGGCTTTTTGTCTTTCCCTCCGCCGCGCTACCTCACTCCCTCTCAACCTTCCATTCTTTCATCCATATCTCATCACGCTTTTCTTCATATATCTCTCCGTCTGTACCGCTCTCATTGATGTAAATTGGCGAATGCGCGGCAGGAGTTATAAATCTCCACAAGGGGCATAGACGATCTGGCTGTCTCCTGCTCCTCCTCCAAAGTAAAGGGGATGAAAAGAGGAGGGGAAGAGAAGCAAAGACATCATCAAGCAAACAGTCGATAATGCTATATATATATATATATATTTTAAAACAAGCCGGGAGGGTGCGCAAAAGTACGGCGACGACGCAATCAGGCGGGAGTTGTTGAAGCTGACAGATGGTTTTATATAGGCTATGATGCTTCAGCAAATAATATTAAAGAGGCTCTGTGTGGTATCTTAAATCTGTGGTCTGAACTGTTTGCATTCTTCTCCTCCTCAGCTCGATGCAAATGAGACGGAGGGGAGAAAATACAGGATTCGTCCGGACTTTAAAGAGGACGCGTCGTTTAAACGTTTGACTGACCACAACCACACGGCTGTCCACATTCCCACTGACATCTATGATGGCTGTGAGTACACAGTCACACACACACACACACACACACATGCAAGTTTGTAACCATGGATACAACTGACACACCAACCCATTATAAAATGTTGTGTACAGATTGTGCCTCCAGCAAACTTGCCCCTAGCTAAATGATGGTTTAAAAAAAAAATAAAAAAATAAAAATGATGCAGCATAACAGCATCTTGTCCAGTATTCAAGGATGTGTGTCCTTGGGATGTGAGCGAACAGAGGGCCCTCTAACTGAAACGGATTGCTCCATGCATTGATGTGTGCATTTATTTATTTATTTGTTACGAAAAAGGTTTTTCGACAATGAGCCTTTTGACGGAACGCATTAGAGGTTCTGAGGCTTTGAATTAATCATTTAGCACAGCATAAATAACCCGAGCATAAATAAAAAACACTGTGACGGTAATGAATTCTCGCTCACATAACATATGCTAATACGTAATTCTGCTTTTATATGTATTTGTATGTGTTTTTATACATATAGAAGTGTATTTTTCCTCAGTATAATAGTTGCACAAAGTGTTTAAATACTCTTATTTTTTTTGGTGTTTGTGATCATGAAACAATTTTATAAGCTGCTGCAGTAAATCAATGGGTTCATTTCACTGTACTGTCGTATATTTGGCTGCCTGGTTTGACTTTACTCGAGCTGTAATTCACGTCCTGCGTCTAATAATTTAAGATGTGAGTGAAACATACCATCATGACCACTCACGGTTAAAGCGATCGATTATCTCGTAAAAGACGGCACGTGTAAATGTCAGCGATATATTAGGGGTCAAGTGAACATTTGGTTCTCGTCGTGTTGGGTGCAGGAGAAATGAGCGGATATGAAGCGGCTCTGATCAGATTGTTGTGTCCAGGTGACTTGGTCAGAGCACCCCTAGAAACAGCAAAGCATGCGGGACAAACCGTGATACAAGATGTTGGTGCATGTGCTGTTACAGACTTTTTTTTTTTTGTCCTGTTTGTTACAAAAGTACATTTCTGATCATTTCATCATCATGTGGTGACATTTACCTTGAGTGGTTCAGAATAATTTGATTCTCTAGAGTCTCCCTGACATTAGCAGAGCTCAAGTTGAATGTCAATGATTTAAGGATGGTCTGTTGAATATCTTAACTGTGGTCTGAATTATGTATTATATTGGAGTGGCTTTTCTTTTTTTGTGTCTATTTTTACATTTTAAACTCTGGGGTGATGCTCTTATTATAGTGTGACTTACTGTGAGAGCAATAAAGTGTTCACTGTTTCGCTCAAGGATATATCACCACAACGCAGGTTCTCGATTCATGAGCCCAATTACCGGAGTTTTTCCCCCCTCTTCACCAACAGGCTGCAACGTTGCCGGCTGACTTGCGCTTGTGTACTTTTATCTGTGTTTCTGTGAGGCTGGGTGTCTGTGTGTTTGTGTTTAGATGTGCGGTAATTAGTGTGCGGCGGGGATGTGTTGCGTCAGCAGTGACTAGGAGGGACAGCAGGATGGAGTGACTTCCACAGCATGGACTTGGGCATGCTGAGGAACCGTCTGGCCCCAAGGTTACGCACGTCACCTTTCTGCTGACCCCCAGATCCAGAAATAAGGGATTGAGGACGGGAATGGATGGATGGCTGTCAGGTCATCTGTAAAAGTGCAAGTCCGGTTTATTAGCATGCTTTTTGAACTCACTGTGGCTATTTGAGATACCTCCCATAAACTGGGCCGGGTGCCACGACTCCTCACGCTGCCGTTCTCTCAAGGATGCTGTTTATTGGTACCCTGTAATGAGTATGCATAGATACGCTGAGCTTCTGGGACCCGTCCAGGCCTGAAGTCTGATCTGAGATGAAAGAAACTATAGGTGTGTGTGTGTGTCTGTATGAGCGAGGACCCAAAGCTGGTAGGACAATCCCTGTCGTGGAAATAAAGGCCGGTCTGGTTTATTTTGGGGCTGAGGTTTTAGGATTTAAACTGGAATTAGATAAGCTAGAGTAAGGACTAAAACTGTGTCCAGAAGACTAAATACCACCAAGAAAATGTGCGTCTTTGAGCATACACGGGCTCACGTACTGGTCCAAGATATAGACGCTCAGGCAGGAGTGTATTTGTATCACAGGAGAAGAAAAACAGACAGAGGATTCATACGTTATTGACGTTTCAATTTGATCTCCCCCCTATAAACGTTCTTGAGAAAATTGGATTTTCTGGGTAAATTGAGTCGCAAGTTTATGAAATCAGCATCACGTGCAGGAGACGAGCGTTGGGCAGGATGCATTCAGATGAGAGAAAGTCAAGTCAGATCATTTATGAAGCACATTTAAACACAAGGAAGCAGTGATCATCGAAAACAATTTAGAGACAA